CACAAAGGATCGAGTATTGTGGGCGTAGCCGAGGGGACCCCTGTTGGTGGGCGGACAAGGCGGGCCAATGAGACGGCGGGATGAGAGAGATGGTTCAACACGTCGATGCAGGGGGTTGAGATGGTTGAGATTGCGGTCGAGACGTGGTCGGCTGAGGGTGGGTCTGTCGAGCATACAGGCGCGTGGTGACACGAGAGATGCTACAATTCAGAGGAGAAGGATGTCAATCGAGGCCGATGGACAGATGTGCGTTGATTGTCTGATGATGCAGCTCGAATTTTGTGCAAGTCAAGCTACGTGTAGAGTTAGATATAGAGTACGGAGGAATATGATGGCCAATGTGACGAAGCTGGCTTCCCTCTTCTCCCGTCACCACACGGAGCCAAAGCCATGGCCAAAAAGCACGTCCTTGGAACGCGTCTCAAAGCCACCCGACCCAGTGAGCTGCAGATTGCCGAGTTACAGGCCTCAATGGCCTCAATGGTCTCACGGTCGCGGGTCATGCGGGCTCTGCGCTCTTCTCCTCACTTCTTTTGCTTCAAATCGTGCAGTAGCCGTGTCAACGTCGTCCATCCGTCTCCTGTCTTTTGTTGGCGTTGCTGCTCCTCGCGCTTGATCAAACCATCGTCTCCTCATCGTCCACAACTTGGATTCCATCGGCAGCACCTTGAATCTCCCTCCATTTCTCAGGCCGACGCTGGGCCAACGCTGCCAAGATCCAGTGCAGCTCAGCCCAATTCCTGATCCAATCCAGTCCCCCCCCCCCTGGCCCTTCGGTCGACCTCAATTCTGACCCTAGCGCTGCAACGCTGCGACACTGCGCTCCTGGCACCGCCTTGTTATACTCGACCCTTCTCACCGTGGCAGTCGTCTTTGTGTCTTGCAGATCGTAGCGAACCAGGAGCCCTGTCCCGTCCCTCTTAATACTGCCGCGTCCCGCGTTTTCCACTTTATCCCACTTCCCTCCCTCTTTCCCACAGCACACCACTCGATTTCCCTGTCTTGGATGGGAACAACAAACAACAGCAACAGCAACAGCAACAGCAACGATTACACGCAGGAATAGAACCGGAATTGCAATAGGAGCTGTATATTCATTCGATTGAGCATCAGGGAGCAAACTGACTACACTTACTTGACCTTGCCTACTCTCGACCACGCAGCCATTGTGCTTCCCTTTCAAGCATCTTGCTCCCATCACCTCATCAACCCAACTGCCATTGTGAACTGGACAAGCTGCGACATGGCCACTATTTCTCGTCAGCCTTTTGCTCCACTCGACGGAGCTCGTTTGCAGGGCTTGACGAGCTTGAAGAACAGACAGAATGGTACGTCTCGCCATGGGGAAGAAGCCGCTGGAGGATCCTCGACAGCCTATACCAAACAATGGTGCTAATCTTTGTAGCAATTGCACCCCCTTCCAACACCAAACGCAAAGCCGAGCTCTTTGATGCCGATGATTTCGAAAATGTCGACCCTCTCGTCTCTGCTAAGCGCACCAAAGGCGCCTCGGGCACCCCAACCAAGGATATCCTGAAGAAGCCCATGTCATACGTTCTCACCAGAGCCGCCACCACACCTAGTGCCCATGTTCGAGCCTCGGCCAGCCCTGTAAAGCCTTCTACGGCACCCCGGCGAGCCCTTCAGCCCAAGTCTCCCATTGCCAAGCTCAACACCAACGTCACCAAGTCCTCGCCTATTTCTGCCCCCGCTGGCCGTTCGCCAACTCGTGGAAAGAGATCGGGCATCCTTTCCAACCGACGACGCACCGCCGGCCCTTACACCCGCGTTGACCCCCCCTCATTCTCCCTCGACTCTGCTGCTCCCTTTTCACTCGACGCCGCTCTCAAGGGCACAATTCCCAGCTATGGTTCTCGTCCTCGCTCCAATGCCCTCTCACAGGGCAGTGCCCCGTCTCTCGGCGAGCCTGATATGAAGGCCAGCTGGTTCTTTGACATCCACGAGGACACGCCGGAGCAGGAGATGACCAACCTTCTTCAACACGGCACATGCGTCTTGGACATTTCATCCGATGAGGAGAGCGAGCAGAAGGCAAGGCGAGAAAATGCCGAAGGCCGTGACAAGGAGAACATCCCTCCTGTTGATGATGTATCTCAAACATCTGCACGACGTGCTCGCGCCCTTGCTGCCGATGACATGATTGTCGAGAAGGAGCGGATCGCACTCGGCGAGATGAACACGGCCGACTTTTACGCCGACGGGTGTGACAAGTCGTCTGTTATTATTGTGCCTGCAGATGATGAAGAGCAGGAACAGAGTGCAGACGAGGCACACACCGGGCAAGACTTTGCCTTTGCCCCAGAACTAGTGGAAACCAGCTCTCCCAGAAAGGATATTGAAGAGCTAATGGCCAAGTCTGAGTCACCTTCGAAAGCAGCTGTTCTGCGGCCCATTGAAGGCACTGGCGAAAGTTTTGATCTGTGGGAGAGCGGGAGCGCACAAGATGAAACAGAACTCTCATGACACGTTTATTGTTATGCTTATGAGTAGACGATGATTGGGCTTTGGCTTTATTGCGGCGTATTTTTGTGTGGGTTTTGTTTTTTTTGGTTTTTGGGCTTAGGTTTGTGTCTGGGCTGGTTATTCGGTAGCAATTGGTGTTTGGCGTTTTCATCATCGGTGTCTGAGCGGTGACCCGGAGTAGTGGGTAATGCGGTGCCTGCCTTGTTAATCGGTGCGATAATTGAATTATTTTGGTCCGAATCAGTACTTGACAAAGGTGCGAGGTGCATGAATTCCATTTGCGCAAAGTGAATCGACTTGACATCAATGTGTCCACCGCATGCGGCTGCACGCCCAGGTGAGACTGACTGACAGCCTTCACCCCACCACCTCCCACCCACTCTCGTCCATCCCTCGACGCCACCAAGTTCCGCCATCAACCTCATGTGCCACGGCTCGCACTTGGACAGCGGCTGCTCAACATGGCCTCTATCAATGATCTTGCCACAGCGGCAATGGCCTCGGATACACCGTCTACTGTGAAGCGCGGCGCGTTCATCGTGCTAGAGGGCTTGGACCGCAGCGGCAAGACGACGCAGGTGAAGCTTTTGGAGCAGCGGTTCGTGGAGGAGGGGAAGAAGGTCAGGGTGATGAGGTTTCCTGGTACGCGCCTTTCTCTCTCTCTTTGCCTACCATTCTTTCCATCTTTTTTTCTCTCTTTGGCATATAGATCTCATGGATCTATTCGTCGTGCATGCGTCATGGTGTTTTGCCTCGCGACGAGAGTGACGGGCGTGTGCTAACCGTCTGTAGATAGGACAACGCCAATCGGCCAGATGATTGATGCGTATTTGAAGAGCGATGTGCAGATGGAGGACCACGTTATTCATTTGCTATTTAGTGCAAATCGCTGGGAGGCAGTGTGAGTGATTGATTTACACGGGGGACGTTTCGCACCGCGGCCTCAGGTGCTGACTTTTGACGCAGGGACCAGATCAAGACCCTCCTTGCGGCGGGCACAACCGTGATATCGGACCGCTTCTATCACTCCGGCATCGTGTACTCTGCCGCCAAGCTGAACCCTTCGCTCCCGCTGTCGTGGGCGCGCGCTCCGGAGCGCGGGCTGCCGCGTCCGGACGTGGTTCTGTTCCTGGATCTGGACGAGGAGACGGCCAGGGCTCGTGGCGGCTGGGGCGGCGAGCTGTACGAGAAGGCCGAGATGCAGAAGAGGGTGCGGGAGCTGTTCTGGGGTCTGAGCATGGGCGGCAAGGACATTCAGGGACAGGAGATGCTGGCCGGGCTGGGGGGGCTGGAGGGCGCGCAGTGGAGGCAGGAGGAGGAGGACCTGGTGGTGGTTGATGCGGGAGGGAGCGTGGAGGAGGTGGCGGACAGGATTTGGGGCACGCTTGAGGGGAGAGTTGCGCAGGTTGAGAGGGGGGAGGTGGGCAGGACGGTGAGGATTGTGCAGTAGTCGGGTGGTGAAGTTGATGTATTTGAGGCGCAATGGTGGTCGGCTAGGGTTTGGGTCGGGGTGTCGGAATCAATGGATGGGCTGAAGTCGTGTGGAAATACAGGGGGCTGACGATAGTAGGGCATGGCTCATGATGCAACAGTTACGGGCATTTACCGCTTCACGCTCTTGGTCGGAGTTTATATGTCTTGGGTCCTTTCATTTATAGTCCAACGCAAGAGCCTGCAAACCACCGACGCCTATAGCAATCCCAGACTACATGGTACAGGAATCTCCTCTTGACCCTTGCAACAGTGTGTAAAATTGCAAAATTGGGAGTTGATGGGTGTTGATGGATCCTTATTTCTGCCTGTAGGGTTTATTTTGTACCAGGTCGTGGTCATCAAGGGAGTCGGGAGTACCTGTGAGGCTATGAACAAGAGAGGGTAGTCTGGCGTTTATTTAGAATCAAGACTTGGGTATATTGTATATATGTGTGTGTTGTATCATGAATTGGTGTGACAAGCAGCGGATCATATCAGTATCTGGATATCCTATTTCATCCTGCCCATGTGCATGGGGGGTTTCGATTAACGTGCGGCATGACGTCACGGTGCTGCGAGCTTAAAATAAAAATACTACAACGGTATTTGCCGTGGCGGCGGGACAGCATGGCACATGAGAGAATTCAAAAACGAAAGGAAGAGAGCTCTGCAGAAGACGAGACTGCCGCTTGATTGAGAATGACTACTTGACTTTTCTTGAATGTTGGTACTTGATCTTCATCGCGGCGGGCGCAGTGGGAAGGGACGTGGCAGCAACGGCGGAAGCCACCCGACGATGACTCGCCGCATCAAGACGTCTGCAACGCCAAGACGGCTCCGTCCACCGCAATCGGCATTCGGCATGTTGGACAAAAGCTGCGGGACACACACGCACAAAAAAAAACACCAAAGCTCCACCAGGAATTCCCAACGACCAGACGTCTGAGTCACCTCGACGATTCCCATTCCCGCTGCACCAGACCACATACACAACTCCCCTCTAGTAGCGGTGATAGCATTTGAAAAACCCGCACGCGCCCGCCATGCCCAACGACAACGACTACATCCTCACGCTCTCGTGCCCCGACAAGCCGGGCATCGTCCACGCCGTGACGGCCGTCTTCGCCGCCCACGGGCACAATGTGCTCGACCTCCAGCAGTTCAGCGACCCCGCGTCGCGGCGCTTCTTCATGCGCGTGCACTTTGGGCCCAAGGCCGGCGCCGTCACCGCCGAGCACCTCGCGCGGCCGTTTGACGAGCTGGCCGCCGCGTACGAGATGGCCTACGACATCCGGCCCGTGGCGCAGAAGATGAAGGTGCTCATCATGGTGTCCAAGATTGGGCACTGCCTCAACGACTTGCTGTTTCGCATGAAGACGGGGCAGCTAAAGATGGAGGTATATGTTTTCCATGCATCACCAGCTTTCATCATAAACAAAAAGAATAGAGAGGCACGAAGAGAAGAGCACCAACTAACACCCCGCCAGGTCCCCGTCATCGTCTCCAACCACGCCGACTACGAGCCCCTCGCCGCCTCGTACGGCATCGAGTTCCACCACCTCCCCGTCACAAAGGACACCAAGGCGCAGCAGGAGGCGCGGGTGCTCGACCTCGTGAGGCGGCACGGCATCGAGCTCGTCGTGCTCGCGCGCTACATGCAGGTGCTCTCGCCGACGCTCTGCGAGGCCATGTCGGGCCGCATCATCAACATCCACCACAGCTTCCTGCCGTCCTTCAAGGGCGCCAAGCCGTACCACCAGGCGTACGAGCGCGGGGTGAAAATCATTGGCGCCACGGCGCACTTTGTCACGGCGGACCTGGACGAGGGCCCCATCATTGAGCAGCGCGTCGCGCGCGTCGACCACAGCATGGGGCCGCAGGAGCTGGTGGAGGAGGGGTCCAATGTCGAGAGCCAGGTGCTGGCTGCGGCTGTGCGGTGGTATGCGGACCGGAGGGTGTTTCTGAACGGCTCCAAGACGGTGGTGTTTGGGTGATGGCTGGCTGGCTGGCGGGGGGTTGGAAATGGTTGTGCGTTTGTTTGTTTGTTGGGGGGTAGATGGGGTATTTGGATATCACGGCATGTTTTGGTGATTTGCGGGCAAAATAGAGTGTTGGTTGGGTATTCAAGGTATGCTATGGGTGGCTTTTTGACGGACATAGTTTTATATATAAATAGGGCCGAAGACAACGGATTGGCCATGCCTACTGCACGATCATGTGTGGTTGTAATAGACGAGTCCACGGCATCCGGTTCACGCATCACGCCAGTTCACGATGGACTACTCGGTGAATACAGGGAAAACCAAGGACGGTGTGGCGTCTTTTTATTTCGTATCCGATCAATAGCATGACTGCAGTTTCACAATCGACTAGTATACAGGGAAAACCAAGGACGGTGTGGCGTCTTTTCATTTCATATCCGATCAATAGCATAACTCCAGTTTCACAATCGACTAGTATACATGGAAAAACCAACGCGGTGCAGTACTCTTTAATCCAATCATGTACACAGGGACTCAACCCGTCTTCTTCAAAATGCGCTCCCGCGCGACGAACCAAAGACTGACAGCCAGGCCCAGGCCAGCCAGGCCAACACCCATATATAGAGCCCCTCGGAACCCCCTCATCAGGTCGTCGGGCGTGTCCCCGTGTCCGTGGACCTGCACCTCGACGGTGCCAGCGAAGCCGACGCCCAGGGCGATGCCGTAGTTGACGACGGTGTTGACGAGGCTCGCGCCGACGCCCTGGTGGCGCTTGGGGACGGCGTCGGACAGGATCAGGGTGGCGGCCGGGAAGCTCATGTCCATGCCAAAGGGCATGACGAGCATGGACACAAAGGTCTGGCCCCAGTAGGACTGGTCGGGCGGGGTGGAGGCGGTCAGGACGGAGCCGAGGGTGAAGGCGAGCAGGGCCATGGCCATGACGTAGGGCGGCCGGACCTGCAGCGGCCCCAGCAGCTTGCCGGTGACGACGGCGGCGCAGATGCCCAGGAAGACGACGGGGAGGAACCAGGCCGTGGTGAGCAGCGGCGACAGGCCGCGGACGTCCTGCAGCACCTGCACCAGGTACAGCGTCCAGACGCCAAACGAGGCCCAGCCGCAGGCGACGGCGGCCAGCACAAAGGCCACGTCGGCGTTGACGGCGTCAAAGGGCACCAGCGGCTTGCGGCTGACGCGGAACTCGACGACGGCAAAGGCCCCCAGCAGCAGCAGCCCGAGCACCAGCGGCACGAGGATGGTGGGCGTGGCCCAGCCGCTGATGGGCGCCTGGGTCCAGGCAAAGTTGAAGAGCACGAGGGCGACGACGCCGAGCAGGGCGCCGGCGAGGTCGAGCGTCTCGGCCCAGCCCCGCCAGGTGCGCGGCGCCTCCTCGCGCGGCGGCATGTC